TTCCTCGCTCTTCTCCGCCTGACGCTTGCGTTGTCGTTCCGTTTCTTGGGCCGCGTTCGCGGCTCGATGCTGACGCCTCATCTCGGCCTCGCGAGCGCGCAGTTCACCATCCGCTGCACGCTTCGCCCGCTTACGTTCGGTCTCACGAGCCCTTCGCAGCGCCGCCTTGTCTTCCAACGTCGGCGAAACCACCGCGGTACCGTCACCTCCAACGACGGGTGCAGTGCTGGCATTCGGTTGTACTGCATTCGTTGTTGATGGTAGCGTTGCCTCCGGGACATCCATCGCACGACCCGCTCTCGACGGGAGACTGAGAGAGAAGGCGGGCGCGCGAGAGAGAGGGGTGCGCGCGCAGCTGTAGCGAGCGAGGAGAGCGGAGGAGCAAGCGAAGGGGGAGGGGGACGCGCACAGCGGCGTTAAAGATATAAGGCGCGTTACTGACACCGATATCAGCTTCGCGTCCGTGGCTTATTCGGTAGAGCGTCGCGCTGCGGCCCGCCAAGTCCTCTTTCTTTTAAAGATAGACAGAAGACTGCGGACGCCGCCGACGGCGGTGGATGGTTTGGGGTCGCTTATAAAGTGTATTCACACTTAAAATCAATTTGCCAGCGATATCCGAGAGAAGAGTTAGGGGTGCTGTGATTAATAGCTGAGTGTCTGTGGATGCTACAAGCATTACTCATAAAGATCTAAGTTTCAATCAAGGGTGAAGAAATCTTTACGTATTACAAGTGGCATTTATTCCACAAATAACATAATTTAGGTACAATGTTCAAGAAACTTATCATAATGTTTAATTAAGAAAGCTTTCTAAGCTCTTTCTTGGCGTCCTTGTAAAGTTCGCTTGCGAAGACACGCCACTTCACGCGTTTTGGGGTTTCGCAGTTGCATGCGTTATCTGATTGTCGCGGTGATAATTGAATTGTCGGTGTACTTGGAGTTGCGAGGAGCGTCTCATCGTGAGTGAACGTGTTGAGTACGCTGACCAATGGGAGGACGTGGCTAACGTTTGACGCCAGACGCCTTCTTCGATAGCTGCGAAAACGGTTTTCCGTACGTGCGAGGACGCAAAAGAAACACACCGACGCTATCTACTGTATAATAAATACATCGAAGGAACGGTTCATATCGGTGAGCTCTTTATTACTATTTCTGCAGACCGGTTACCCTCGAACACGCAGTAGCCATGAACAATTCCCATTGACGCCGTAGCGTGAAGAACTCGTTTCGCAGAAATTCTGGTTTCGGCTTCGGTGTCAGCGTCATTGGTTGCGAGCGAAGAATAACTTTGTCCGTGATAAGAAAAATTGAGAAATAGGCAAATAAAATAAAGAATAAAAATTCGCAGCATATCCACGGAGTTAATAATCACAAGTGGGGCAAAGCACTGGAGGGTTTAATAGCTAAACCGTGAACGATCCACGAATATCACTCACTACATCATCAAAAACGTGACAAACACTGTATATATTTGTACAAGAAATTTTATCATTCATGAGTGGTAGCTATACATCGCTTCCGTTCCACCTTCATTATAACAGCTTCATGGTCAGTGAAGTGGTGGATCGGTAATGGGGCGTGGTGGAATGCTTGCAAAGGCGAAGTAGTGGGCAGTTTGCAAAAGATGAACTATAGGCGGTCACGTACAAACAAGAGATGGACACAATGAGACAATCTACGGTTCTTTACCGTGCGCCTAGATACAAGGACGCAACCATCTTGCATTTCATATTGGCTACTTCTCAAAAGTATTTGCTTTATGGTCAGTGAGGTGGTGGATCGGTGATGGGGTGTAGTGGGATGTTTGCAAAGGCGAAGTAGTGGGCAGTTTGCAAAGGATGAACTATAGGCGGTCACGTACAAACAAGAGATGGACACAATGAGACAATCTACGGTTCTTTACCGTGCGCCTAGATACAAGGACACAACCATCTTGCATTTCATATTGGCTACTTCTCAAAAGTATTTGCTTTATGGTCGGTGAGGTGGTGGATCGGTGATGGGGTGTAGTGGGATGTTTGCAAAGGCGAAGTAGTGGGCAGTTTGCAAAGGATGAACTATAGGCGGTCACGTACAAACAAGAGATGGACACAATGAGACAATCTACGGTTCTTTACCGTGCGCCTAGATACAAGGACACAACCATCTTGCATTTCATATTGGCTACTTCTCAAAAGTATTTGCTTTATGGTCGGTGAGGTGGTGGATCGGTAATGAGGCGTAGTGGGATGTTTGCAAAGGCGAAGTAGTGGGCAGTTTGCAAAGGATGAACTATAGGCGGTCACGTACAAACAAGAGATGGACACAATGAGACAATCTACGGTTCTTTACCGTGCGCCTAGATACAAGGACACAACCATCTTGCATTTCATATTGGCTACTTCTCAAAAGTATTTGCTTTATGGTCGGTGAGGTGGTGGATCGGTGATGGGGCGTTGTGGGATGTGTGCAAGGACGAAGTCGTGGGCAACTTGCAAAGGTGCAACTATAGGTGGTCGCGTAAGTGCATACACGGGATGGACAGACCCACGCCTTTAGGAGCTTCACCCGTAAAATTTTCGGTTCGAGTGAGAATCGAACTCAAGCCATCTGCGTGACTAGGAGATGCTCCAGATCAAAGACACTATTTCATGAAACTTAAAAAAATATACGAATGTCATGGTGTGGAAGGAGCCTCCTTGATGCATGTATTGTTCCGTGACATTGAGTTGCACCAGGCGTCGAAACATGTGAACTGTACCACGAGGGGCTTTTTAAAGGTACAAACCGCTCAGAAATATTTGAGCATCAGCATCTGCAAAAGCAGCAATAACGTGGGCGGCTGCGTAGGCTTGGGTGTTGCCTTACGGACAGGTAGTGAAGGGTTATTCGTCCAAGGATGATTGATTGATATGTGGGGTTTAACGTCCCAAAACCACCATATGATTATGAGAGACGCCGTAGTAGAGGGCTCCGGAAATTTCGACCACCTGGGGTTCTTTAACGTGCAACCAAATCTGAGCACTCGGGCCTACAACATTTCCGCCTCCATCGGAAATGCAGCCGCCGCAGCCGGGATTCGAACCCGCGACCTGTGGGTGTTGCGGTTAAAAGGAAGGTCGCTGATGGCATCCCACCGCTGCCATCAGTTGTTGCGCTTCGTGGCGACCGCAGTCTGCGGGTAGCGGGGCCGGTCGCCGTCGCTCCGTCGAGCCAACGACTAGGGGAGAGCTTTGGTCAAACTTAACGGATTTATTTACATCTTTACAGTGAGTTGTCGAGATGACAGAAGAGAAGAGCGGATCGTTGGGCGAGGCACTGCACGCCCTTTTTGTTGACCCCCGTTCCCAAGGTCCCTAGGTTGGGAATCACTACACAAAACAATGCGGACCAATGGTGATGTGGCAGTTCCTGTCAATGAAGTACCACCCATCATGTCTGTTCATAGAGGCACAACACAGGCTTGCACATACACACACACCCTTGCCACTAGTCGCAGCGCTGCCGTAGAACAGGGAGGGGGAGAGCGGAAGACGCACGGGCGCCTCGACCCCTCTGGTGCCGGCCTCGGGCTGCGTTTCCACGAGAAGATCTTAGCGCGCCCTTTCGAGAGGTGCCAGGTTCGTGGAATCTTCTGAGGAGAGCCCTTTGACCAGCGCCGTCGTCGTCTGCCGGTTAACGCGCTAACGATGCGTGGCCCAGGCGGGAGATGAAGCGGCGGCTCCAAAACACTCTTTGGCAACATTCCACACCGTTGGCACCGCTGTCAATCAGTGGGCGCCGTCTCGTGTAGTCGGCCTCTGTTGCTTCCTCCTTCCAGCCGTGGCGAGACTGTCCTTTTGGCACTAATCCAGCGTGGCGAATGGCCCGCTGGGTCAAGGCATAGGTTGATCGCTACATGGGTCAGCAGCCGAGTACCTTAGCCACTAGACCACCATGGCGGGGCGCGTCCAAGGAAGGGGGATAGCGTAGTGGGCACTTACAAACAGTGTTTGCAGTGGGCATTCCATTATAGTTTAAAACGACCAGTGTTACGCGCACAGTCGTTCTTGTCGTAGGACACCGCTGAAGAACCGAAGCCAGGGTAGTAATTAAGAAAGTGATGCACCTGGGTCCAAGGTTTCGCGAGTGAGCAGTTCGTCGCCAAGTTAAATTCCGAGCAACAATCGTCATACCTGCTACAATCGTCATACCTGCGTACAGTGCGCGTAGTGTACATTCACTTCCACATAATTACGACACATGTGGATTATTGTTTATGTATGCTGTAAAAACATTTCGTTATTGTGGCCATTGAATAAAACTGAAGTGTCATAAATGTGGCGAGTCTAGGCGTGATTTATTCTTGACCAACTGAACCACACGAGGCCTACAAACAGTATTTACAATACATTAAGACACATGCGTATGCGCTAATTAAGCAAGCAACGATGCTTCAAGAGGTACGCTTCTGCTTTCGTTAATCCAACTGCGGGAAATTTCATGAGCGTAGGAATAATATTCCAAGAATGAGGACGTTCCACAAACCAGCCATTTGTAGCACGTCTGACGCTCATCCGAGGAACTACAGGCGGGTGGTTGTCTTTTTTTCCTGACGCGGTGGAATAGTGCGTTACCCTTTTTAGAAAATGCTTAGTACACTAACTACTGCCATAACTGGTCTTAATCTACTTTGTCTGCTTACACTTGTTACAGTTAAAAAATCTAACCAAATTTTGTATACAAAACAAAGCATTATCCACCTCTTGTGAGTGAATTTTTCAAGTTTTACGATTAACTTATCACCCAGCTACCTGTCACAACGACATATCACAAAGCAACGCTCACATAGTCAACAAGACAAAACACCATCGTTTACTAATGAGTTTGAATCATGTGTGCAACTTGGCGAGTGGTTGCTTCAGACAGAAAAAATGCGGAATAAATCACAGCCTTCGTTAAAACATTTACTCATGCCAGCTTGCTAGCATGCCGAACGATCAACGCGTCACGAAGTGCCCTGAGGACGGGAAACTTATTGCCGCATTCGCCGCGGTGATCGTCAAAGTCCAGGTCAAAGACGGCCAACCCGTCGGCCAGCTCTGTGGTGAAGCCAACGCTCTGTGGTCCCAGCGAGGACATCCAGCCTCGATCCCCGTCCCAGGCCACAAAACACTCGCTCACGTTATCGTGCCAGTGGTGCCAGGGCTGGCTGCAGATCTCGCGGTACGGCACCTCTGCGAACGAATGTGGCTGGTGAGCCGACGTCGTGGAGGCTACGGTTCTTCAGCTGGAACTTCAAGCCGCCGAAAGAGACGCCGATGAGGTAGCGTGGCAGCCTTCGGCTGTTCCAGTGCAGTGGCCGCGTTTCCAGAAGCGTAGTCGACGCGGCCATCCGCCACTGACGACAGCAAAGTTCTCGAGAGTTGGTAGATGAATTCGAGGGACGAGCCTTCGTGGACACTCCGGCGAGGATGTGGGCACGTGGCGAACGTCGGACGTAGTTGTCCGGTATCGTAGCCTTGCGACGGGGGCGAGATGACTAGCATGTCCTTGGTATTCGCATAGATCTCGGTGCGGTAGTAGCGCACCTGCTGGCGCAAGTCACGCGGCAGCACCACCGCGACGGATACACCACGGACGGCCATGATGAGGTCGTGAACACGGAAGGCGTGTTTCAGCAGCTCCACGTCCTCGAGGTAGACGGCCAGCCCACCCGCGCCCAGCCGCTGCGCCTCATCGGCGAGTTCGGTGGCGAACCTTGCAGTGTTTTGCAGAGCCGCGTCCAAGTGGTGAGCTAGCGCGCGGTGACCTCCCAGTGTCAAGAAGAGGTGACTTGGTGGCAGAAATTCATGGTTCATTACATTTATGAACTGCTCCAGATTCTTGCTTATCACCACCTTGCCCTTGGCGTTCACGTCGAATGCAGCAGAATGCTACAGTCCGTGCACAGTTGTACCGGAAAATCGTACACAGAGAAGCCCGGAGAGCGTGCGAGGCTCCTGTCGTCGTAGAAACAGAACAGCAGCCATGCTGAGGAGCCAGCCTTGTGTTTGTTTGGACTATAAGCTTCCGCCGCGTAATCCTCAGAAGTGCTCCGTGTGGCGTGCTGGACCCCGAAGTGCTTTTCGCTGGTGGCCAGGATAGATGCCGTTGTCTTCCGCGACGCTGAGCTAGTTGTAGGCGGCGTGGAAGTCACGTCTGTGGAAGTCACAGTAGTTGGACGCTCCGTACGGGCAAAGGTAGACAGGTGTACCTGAAGATTCTTGAAATCGCGACGGATTCGACGTATCGGAACCTCTCGCTATAAGTGGACTATGCTGCAGGTCTCGCTTCGCATCTTCTATCACCGCGTCATCGGCATCTTCCGCTGATACATCGAAGCCGTTGGACACTACTCGGTAATGGTCCTCCCCACTGGCGAAAGCCGGCGCAGTTTCCTCTGTTACGATAGTGCCATTGTGCTCCAGAGTATCGTTACTGTCGGCGTCGAGCTCACCATGGATATCGTAACCGTCCGAGGCATTGTCGCTCTTCCCAGGGGTCACGGGCGAGGTACTAGTTGCCATTCTTGACACGTTAAATATCCGGCCTTGATGCCGGGCGCCTTTGTGTACCTCACCGGATGACGGCGAATCCATACGCTTGGACTGGTGGCCCGGTGCCGGCTGGGTGCGAACAGCATCCTTTCGTACTGGAGCCACTGGAAGTGCAGTCCTTCTGGCCTCTAAAGACGCGGTCTCTTTTACCTCGCCCTCCCGCAAGTCACGCATGATGAGCGTCAGCACCACCGCTATGCCGCACACTCCCAGGAGAGAGAGCACAGCGAAACCAGTGGCGGCCGCGCCCTTGCTGCAGCCTTTCTTCGCGGTGCGCCGTCGACGAGGAACATTGTCGAGGAAAGCTAGCGACGACTCTACACTCATTATAGAAAAGTGGCACGGGTACTTCCACAAGAGCCAACGGTTCCGGCGAGGAATCAAAACGGTCGACCGATGCGCGCGTGTCACGAGCGCTCGTTGCAGGATCTGTGTCACTACTTCTTCTTTACCTCCAGGCATGAGCCAGCTTTATTTAGACGTCGCGCAAAAATCGGAAGGATAGAACTTCGGAAGCCACAAACGGTTTATTCAACTACCATGAGAATGCAGCGAGCGGAAGCAAAACTAGCGGCGACTGCTCACTGAGAAGCCACTCGTGACGGGCTCAGACATTGAATGAAGCATAATGACTAAGAAGCGTACGGTTGGTGCCTAGGTGAACTTTAGGTGTATAGAATTATCTAAATAAAATCAATCCCTTACCTAAAAAAACTGAATACTCTTACATTTTGTGAATAGACATATGTACACATGTTGTTGGTTATGTTGCTTGTTGTTTTTATTTTTGCATGTTATCATACACGATTGTACCTAATCTTTAACTTTTCTATGCAATAAATTACATTATTCTTAAGTTTCACGATAAAGTTATGAAACAACCCAGTTCATGACCAGTCTTCTCTCTGTATGAGATTTCAGTCGCAGTGACTGATGAACAAGAAGAAGTTGTACTATTGTATTTGTTTCTTGGACAATCCTTCAGACTGGGTGCCGGCGATACATATAGGCTATCAAAAGCACCATCCTAATAATAATCATCATCGTCGTCATCGTGAACAACGAAGGCCACCTAGGCTAATGCATCTCGAACGTGCGCGTGCTTTGGAGTTTTGAATTTTTTTTGCAGTTCAGGACAGCTCCGACGCTTGCGGAGCAGCTTTCGAAACTTTTTTCAAGGCGCAGTGAAGGTGTCAGCTGCTGCCGGAAAGTTACGGCCCCACACAATCGTTCTCTCTTGTTTATTCTACATCTTCTTGGGTACTACTGTGCATACGAAGGGGTCTTCGCCTGCACACTTGCGTACGCTTGGGGGATCAAAAACGTAAAAGCAAGTGCACCAGATATTCTTGTTTGAATGAAATGCACATGATAAGTTTTAAATCTTTTTTAGAAAAATAAACACCCAATCATGTTGGCGTCACCTTCACTGTCCTGTTCTTTTTAATTGGAGATGTATGACGAGTTTTCTTCGTTCAATCGATTGTGCGTGTTGATAACCTTGTTTGAATGAAATGCACATGATAAGTCTTAATTTTTTTTAGGAAAATAAACACCCAATCATTTTGGCGTCACCTTCACGGCTAAGTTGTAGCTTTAAAAGTTTTTAGTACTTTTCGATTGTTTTTTTCTACTATGAAAAAATAATATATTTAACAACTTTCAAATTGATTGACCACGTAGTGTCAAACGAACGCGAATGCACGGCTGCAATGCCTCGAGAGACCATAAACAAAACACTGACAATCTGTATAACAATATCAGGAGCAACAAAACCTTTCGGGCTTTTTCACTGCCTTCTTTAAGAGTTTAACGTGTATGTTATACGGATGAATAAACAATAATATTCTTGAATAGCAATGATAGAAGAAAAGTTGAGTTTAGCCTCAAGAATGCGATAGCATCATCTAGCCCCGTTCGCATCACCTTCTCAATCAGTAGCCACACTTAGTTTCCCATTGGACCCCTTAACAATGCCGAAAGAAAAAGAACGTCTGTGCGAGCAACACTGGCCGTTTAAATCTATCCTACAATGCCTGAAAGTACTGTTTCAAAGATCCCACTATGCTATATTTTGTCCTTGCACGAATCAACGAAGTGCGCGTCCATAAGGCAACACGCAAACGCAGCAACTGTTTTGTTCACACTTTTTTGCTGCTGATGACGAATAAATATGCCTAAGCCCTTTGTGATGGGCGGGCCTTGAAACTTCTCACTTTTTGCCCGATTGACATGTATGGACGCCTGGCGCGATTCTAGGCCTCGCACCCACAACATTACGTTGATTACGGAGACTCGCTGCATAAGATGACATTCGCGTGGTTTTTTTCAGCGGTTTCAAGGAGTGGCGTGGCTCTGTGGTAGAACGCCTGCCTGCCGCGCAGAAGGCCAACGTTTAATTTGCACTCAAACAGAAGTTTTATCATTATTTATTTATTTGTACCTATCTCGAATTTCAGATGGGTCATGTGAAACGCTGCTTTTTCGCTCACATTCAAAAACGCCGACATCGACGCGGACACACGCATTTCTGCTAAACGAGTTGTATGATACCATCGTGTTAATAAAAGAAATGAGTTGCAATTCTCGTCTAAGGAATAAGTTAACAAAACTGAAAGAGTCACCGGCGCACATATTGCGAGCATTAATCCCGAGCTTCATCTTCTCATCTGGACATACTAACCATCTCCACTCTGGCTTGGGTAGTGGGACTCAGGTTTCGCGAATAAAAAAACTCCCAAGCATTTCCCCGAGTGTGAACATGGTTAAGTGCGAATGCACGGGGTGATGCAAGCCACCGCGGTACCGTCACCTCCAACGACGGGTGCAGTGCTGGCATTCGGTTGTACTGCATTCGTTGTTGATGGTAGCGTTGCCTCCGGGACATCCATCGCACGACCTGCTCTTGACGGGAGACTGAGAGAGAAGGCGGGCGCGCGAGAGAAAGGGGTGCGCGCGCAGCTGCAGCGAGCGAGGAGAGCGGAGGAACGAGCGAAGGGGAGGGGGACGCGCGCAGCGGCGTTAAAGATATAAGGTGCGTTACTGACACCGATATCACCGTCGCGTCCGTGGCTTATTCGGTAGAGCGTCGCGCTGCGGCCCGCCAAGTCCTCTTTCTTTTAAAGATAGAGAGAAGACTGCGGACGCCGCCGACGGCGGTGGATGGTTTGGCGTCGCTTATAAAGTGTATTCACACTAAAGAAAAAGAAGTTATGTGACCTAAGCGTTCTTTCACAAGTGATGGAGGCACTGGGTACAGATTAGAAGTTGTGCAGATGAGAAAATGAAGAGCATTAATAATACACACGATGCAATGTCGCTCTTCATTTGAGGTGACGCATTCATAGCTCGCAAATTTTGGTGACGTCACACACAAAAAAAAAACATGATGTAGGTGAACGAACAGAAGCGTAGCCCTCGAAATGCGCCACGAATTCGTACAGGTGGTTATTCAATAATTGATGCTCCCTCGATGTCGGACTTGTCGGCGATCAGATGCTCCTGATGTGCAACTCTTATCTTTTATAGAGATAATTACCTGTC